TATACTGATTTGGTGTTTTTATATCATACAAGAAGTAAGAAGACCAATAAGCTAAAGGGAAAGCTGCTGATCGGTTCAACTGTACCAGACCTGAGAGTTGATGACCGATGTGTAAACTAAGACCACCCAGATCACAACTCCATCAACAAAGATTATTGTGTTTAGTAATACGGCTAAGGTGAAAAAATAGTTGTTAGTTGTTCTAGGGTATTTAGCCTCGTGGTCTTTTGGCCATATCGCATCGCAATAAGCTTTGTCCCAACAGATGGTATCGCACAGAATTAGGCATAAGGCACAATAATATTGTATATAATATTACATTTTACACACGTCTGAGTTCAGACTGTGTGCCAAAATAATCACGGTACAATAATTTTTATAAAAAGAATAAATGTCCGTGATTTTCTCGTGAGCGCGATACTAGTAGGCAGCTTAGGCCAAGGCAGGTGACTTTTCTTAGGGAATGCCTATCCGGAGTCTTGGGTTAATCAAAACCTCACCCTCAAGGCATTTGAGTCAGTGTATAAAAACCATAATCCAATCCATTGGGCCAGTGTCTAGTGCATCAGATCATACACCCCTCCGACGGGGTCAAATGTTCAAGGTTCCCAATGCATCTCGATGCCCAATCCAGCCGGTGACCACTGCCACAACCACGGTATGGTAGGGTGCGGTTCATAAGCCTCTTCTTGGTTGGTTTGAAATCCAGGTTTTAAGCCAATTCCCCTAGATGAACTGCAACTGGTTCACCGACCCGGTTATGGCTCCAGATATTAGTTTTTAGTCCTCTCCCTTAAGTAGGAAAACACCTCTACGAGAAGGCAGTGAGTAGGGCTTTCTCAGCAGAAGCTATTTGAGGCTCTGGGTCGTATGGGAGCACCTCGTCAAATGCAAGAGAGGCCTGATCAGCGGCAACTTGAGACAACCCAACCATAATGGGGCTTTCGGAGGCACAATAATAATTAGTTTTGTAAGTTGTAATCAAAATCTGTGAATCGCTAACAAACATGAGGAAACATTGACTCCCATGAATTAATTTAAATACAAACAACATTACAATATAATGTGAGCTTATTTGTCAAAACCTTACTATCTGAGGAGTCGTTGTTCACCATTGTACCTTTGCAGGAAACTGTCGTTTACCTTGGCCGGTATATATAGTATATATAAAGTAAAACCGACATGGGAATCACAATGCTCTAGGAGTTTATTTGATGCTGTATGCGGAATGTTCAATTAGTATCAGCTTTGCTGTCGTCCTGTTTAGTACCACGCCTAAACTAGTGGGGTCTTATGTGGTTCGCCACCTCCATCTACCTTTCTAAGCATCTTGCATCCATTTCACCAATTGACTTCAAATTAGTTTTCTAGGAAGGACGCCGCTTGGATAAAGTACTCAACTAAAAAAGCGGATAAAAATAGACAGAAATGTAATACTACGTTTAGATGTTACCTAGGCGGAGAAAAATTGAAATACAAACGATCGTTTTCATATTGAACGTAAGAATTATACTGAATTAGGCCAGAACCTAAACATGCAACAAAGATAAACAATAATGGACATTATCAAAATTTCTGTACCTCAGTATGCCGAAAATCCCAGTGCTCAAATCTGTCTGATACGTGTGAGAGCAATCTCGCTATCACTATCCATTAATGTTGTATGTCATATCACCGTGTACCACAAATGCCCCCCAGAGAGCGGTTAAAAAATGTCCCGGTTCATTCATTTTTGGAAATCATTCCTAATCCTAAGACCGTCGGGATTCTGGATCAAACTTTGGCCCCGACAAATTACAGAAGAGAGAACACCATCCTCGCTAGCAAAGAGGCCTATTGGTCTGACGATCTTCCTGAAAATCACTTATTTCGGGATACCATTAACCACTTACTGATCATCTTGTGGTGTGACTTGCAATGTGATCAGGTCTTGGATGCTGGCAGTCACAGCACCTGCTCTTTCAGAATTAATCAGCGCTGATCACTTCGTGTGAACACTAATGGTCACAGGAACCAGTGTTTCTTTCTCACTTAGTTACCGCCAACTCTATGTAACTCGTGCGTTTCTAGTGTCTTTCTACAACCCCCAAAATGCAGAGGCAGTTATCACTGTAACTCGAGTAATGGAGATCGTCCAAACAAAATTGTAGTCCCTTACGCAGTGTATATGAATTCAGAGGTATGGATCCGTATAGGCTGATCTGCCCCGCGCTTCAAGCCCTGAAAGATCGTATTTATCTGCTGCACAATTTCATGGATTTTATTTGTGATCACTTCGTGTCATTGTTTTAAAACCTTCCTGGCGTCTGTTGGCCTCCTAATGCTCTCCTCTGTCGATCCAACTGGTCGGTCTCGTCACACACTTCTTCCATTGCATGTTAGCTCAGCTCACTTCCTTCCAAACGCCCAAATTTTAACCATTCTTTATTAGTCGGGTGATGTGTGAGGTGTTTGCTTCCTTCCCCTTTTAATAACTCATTAAATCAAAGCTGTTCTGCAGCACTTAGTTTTCTGAATTTGTCTCTTTCGACTTCTGAATTCAGCCTATTTTTAACTCCTTGACAGGAACACCAGTTTTTATCTCTTTTACACTGCTCCAACCACAGATATCGATGTTTAGGAGTGATTTCGTGAGGCTGTCAACCGTGCTGTACATTTTAAAAACTTAGCTTTCCGCCGTTGGCACCACTCACCTAATCCAGTATCCCGCAACCGCTTCGTGCAAGCCAGAGACTAATGCTCGGTCGCTATTCAGAGAGCTAAAGAACGATTCATTTTTCACAAAGCTGCGCGATTGACTTCTTCCGGCACCGGTAACGGAACATTCTGGTCCCTCGGTAAAGCGGTTTCACGTAATTTCTGCCCTTCCAACTGTCCTCCTATTTGCAGTTCTACTGATACTCTTGTTTGTGAACCCACGAAAAAGCAGAGATCTTCGCTTCTCGATCTGCCTCCAAATCTAATTTATCTACCGACTCTACTGTTCAACCCTCCTCCTACACATCTAATCACTCTTCTCCACCTATCGCTACAACCAGAAAGGTCCGCCAAACTCCTCGTGCTTTGGATGTTTGTAAACCACCCGGTCCGGACGGTATTCCACCTATCGTCTGAAAAATAAGTGCCCGGAGTTAGCCCCTGTTCTACGCCGCCTTTTCGGTTCTTTATTTGATCTTAAATCTTTCCCTACTCCATGGAAAAATGCCTTTCTTTTTCCAATCCCAAAGCGCGGTGACCCTCCTGACCCCAACAACTGTTCCGTTACTCTTGCTTCTGTATTTTCGAAAGTGTTTGAAACCATTATCTCCGATCAGCTGCGTACGTTTCTCGAACGTGGTTTGTTGAATGATCGTCAGTATGGATTTCACCCTCGTCGATCTACGGGTGACCTATTGATATGCACGTCACATTCCTGGTCGAAGGCACTCGAGAACCACGGATAAACTCACATGATCTCGGTCAACATTTCAAAGGCCTTCGAACGCGTTTGGCATGAAGGTCTGCTGCCGAAATTACCCACATTCGGATTCCACCCGTCTCTAGCATCGTGGATCAAATGTTTCCTCAGCACGCGAACCATCTACGTCCGAGTAGATGAGGTCTGATCTCGGCCATTTATTGTGAACACCAGTGTTCCCCAAGATGCCATACTTCCGCCCACCCTCGTTCTTTTATTTGTCAGCGATCTTTTATCCCAAACATCTAATCCCATCCACTGCTTTGCCGATGATGCCTCTCGCCATTGTTTTCTTTCTTACCCCACATTCCGTCAAGCTAATACCAACATTGTAATGTCATTAGTGCTTCTCTTGCCTCCGATCTCTGCATGGGGTTCTACCAACTATGCATGTTTCAATGCTTCCAAAACTTCCCTCCTCTCAGACTCCATTAAACGTGTCCCCCATTCCCCTCAATTGATTTTTGTTTCTCTGCCCCTTCGTTCCACAAATTCTATCTTCCTCCCGGGTTTGTCCGTGAATTTTTCTCTGTTGGTCCCCTTTTATTTCTGCACTTGCTTCACGCTGCGCGCAAAGTTGGTTTTCTATTCTTCGCAAAGCATTTCTTCACATCTAAGTACCTTCTCCTTTTATACAAAGCTCAAATCCGACCGATGCTTAAATACTGCAGTCACGTATGGGATGAAGCTTCGTATTCCGCACTTACTCTCTTCGGCCGTGTTCAACGTAAACCTATCCGGCTGATCGTCGAACCAACTTTAACTTCCAACTTGCAGTCGCTTTCCCATCGCCGGGCAGTTCGCCCGTTATCTCTTTTCTATCGTTACTATTTTAGTTTCTGTTTTTCAGATCTCACTTCAGCGGTACCCCTTCCATTGATCTTTTCTCGTCCATCTCTTTCTCAGGCGCACAATTACCCATATCAGGTTTCTGTCCCCAGATGTCGGACTTCTATCGCTCAATCTTCTTTTTCCCAAGGACTGCGACATTGTGGAACACCCTTCCCATTTGCGTGTTTCCCAGGTCTTATAACCTTACCCTTTTCAAAAGCAGGATTAACAAATTGATTCTTGCTTGAATGGTCCCCCTTACAGTATATCATTGATTATAGGGTTCATCCCTTTGGCTGTACATCACTGTGTAATAATAAAAGATCTTGCAAATTTGTTTCTCACTGGAAATCTGGATAAACGCTTGTGGTGCAGCCAGTATCTAGATTCCCTTTCGCGCATGAGCCGGAATGTGGAAGATAGACGGCACGCACATCTAAACCACAAAATATAAAAAGAGCATTGAAAAATAGTATATTTTGCATCAGATCAGTCATTCAGAGAAAAGGTCAAATATGGGACCGGATAAAAAGACCGGTGTGTAGCAGCACATGAAATTAGGTTCACCGAGAAATGAACCAACCACAGATTAAAATGAAGGGACCGCAAACGTTTTTTGGCATGTTACAGTTTTCTTGTACAAGTGACCTGAATAGTAATCGGGAGATGTTAGCTGAAGCGTCAGCGAACCCCCTAGTCCATTGACAATACCTCATACGATATCTTTACGACCGGGTTCAACTCGAAAATCACCGGCTGGAGCGAGGGAACGGGCAGATATCGGTGGTGAGGCACGGCGACTTTTGTGTGAAAATTCATCCGGTGGAACAACATGAAAGCCCAGTGTGCGTAAGAATTCAGCATCAGCTTCAGAACTGTGACAAGGAAGATGCAAAACAGAGATAAATCTTTTGGTGAAAAGAAAACAACTATTCGAACAGCGTTACAACGGAAGATAGTGCTTTCATACAACGGCGACATGCGATAATAGTCCTGAAAGCGTACAATGATAACGGTAATGGTGATACTATAGCCAATGTTTTTTTTGTTCACGGTCCCACAGTAACACTACCATGAGAAACACCAAATATTTTCTCAACTTTCATTGGTTAAATTGCAAACTAAAAACACATATATAAAGCATCTGATACCGCTTGAGGAGCAGAGGACAATATTACAAGTATTCACGTAATTGCTATTTCTTTTGGAACATAAAGTCCTGATTATTGCATAACAGTAAAGAAACGTCAGAAAAAAGCTAGACGATGCACGTTTCCGTGAACAAAGAAAGTAATCATCCACAAGCGTATGGCAAAAAACTTTTTAATCAAGGGAAACATTGAGGATCCGTATCCATTTATTCTGAAAGCTGACTAAATAATGGACTGCAAAATAAACATTTGAATTGCTTTCGGCTATAACGAAAAGATGTGAGACAATAACGATAAGCGGAAAATGCACGGGAGCTGAAGGGGAAAGAGGCTACGTATCTTGTACGATCTGCTTGCAAAAGTGCAAAAGTGATTGTTGTATTCTACAATTCACCGAAAACCAGTGTTAACCAAACAAAAAGCAGTGTATCTATGTCAAACAGAACGACTTCGTATACACACTCAGCGAGAGTAGCAGATATGAACGTAGCGAATACGCTTACTGTCAGTGACCTTAGATCGCACTTAAACGTCCCAAAGTAAGTTAATCTTACTGAGAAACTGTGGAGAGAAGTGGGCATTTCCCCAGATAGCAACCACGACGAAGAAAACGGTTTACAAACCACTCATGGTAGAGACAGCTTCCATGCTCCTTGTGTGTATTCACACATGTTAGTTGGATGTGATAGAGAGACGAGTGTTTTCTCGTAGATGGGCTGGTCAAGAGTACCCAGTAAACAGACGTGTGTAGCTTTGAACACCATTGAGGCTTGTGATCTTGGTGAATAGAAGATTATACTGTGGAATCTGGTAAAAACGACTAATATCGGTTTTACTTCTAAATTGATTACAAAGCGATTAGGCATATTTTAACTACTAATGAGTAGCTCCTCCCTCAAGAAGAAAAATGATTGGTGCTTTTAAATGTCCCGGGTCTGGCCAAAAATGAAGAATCGCAAATGCTACCATGAATAAATCACAACTGAGCGAAATCAGAGACATCAATCGATGGAAGAAAATATCGCAGCACAGATGTTGTATCCAGTACTGGTAAACATGGCTTTGTCATTTATTCGTTAAACCTCAGCCTGTTTCAGTTGACACAATTGTCTTGCACTCGCGTGCGTTAATGTTGGTTACTGTCACCCACCAGGCAGGCGATGAGACCGACTCAGGTCCACAGAGAAACGAAAGAAAGATACCGTGCCAGATGGTGCCGAACCGAATATAGAAGATGTTCTGGGTGAGCACATTTGCAACGGGTGATTAACATTAACGGTGCAATCAGATGAGAATGTAAATCAGCCCACTAAGTCCTCTCCTAAATGCATCAAGATGTACGAAGTGGAGGACCCTAATTCCTGCCTGAAAGACTGTAGAACGCACACTTGGAAGCGATTATAGTCGAAACAGTGCTTTTTTCTTCTCCAGAACCTGTTAACTAGTAGATACAAACGAGGAATGAAGCCTGCACTTTTATATGCAACCCTTTTGGAGATTTTTGTTCACGAAGATGCAATCGGCGTACTGTAAGACTCACCAGTGAAAAGCTTTGGAAATGCTGCAAGATGGTTTAATCTGATGATCAGTCAAAAGAAAAATAGCACAATCTTGTTCCGATTCGAATTCCTGCAGTTTTGGTGGCTCCATCCAGCCTACAATTGCTAACAATATTGGAATAACTGCACAGCGCTCTAACGTTTTTCAATGGAGCAGATAACTCGTCAAATCTGTCTGAGTAACACAGCTTCGTTGTTCGTTAAGGTGACTGCTGTTGAGTGATCACGCGGTTCCCCGCTAGTTGGAATCCCGACGTAGTTATGATCCCGGAAAGACAGCGTGAATCCGGAGTGAAAAACCCGATTTATGAAGCACTGAAGATGCCGTTGAGTCACCAGACCTAGGAGTAGATGACGAATGGACGCAGCAGCATGTTTTTTCAT